CACATGGTGAAACCCCAACCTCACTGGAACAAGCGAGCAAAACTACAAAACTTAAGACCCTTCCTGGGTATCCTTCCCCAGGTGGCACGAGAGCATGCAACACACACAACGAAGCGTATTAGGCACCCTCCCCCAACCGAGCATGCTCTTGCGCCTCGCCCCGACCGTCGCACGGCGGCTGCGCATCAACATGCCCCCCTCCTCGCGAGGCCGGCCCTCGTGTCACGAAAACGCTCGCGCGGTGCGCCACCTCGAGACCCACGTGAAGTCTTGTTCGCGCACGCACGTCTCCGTGTCGTGCCCGGAGCCCTCCCCCCCCTTGAGGGGGAACGTCTGCGGGGGATCGGCGTCGATCCAGAATCGGCGACGCATCGCGAATGGATCCGCGGTAGGCCCCGATAGCGAAGCCGCAGGTTCCTGGACGGGTGTGGAGCCTCGGCGATGCATGGGTCACGGGGGGTCCATGCGTCCTCTCGTGAGCCTATTCCCCCCAGACATCGGCCCTGACCGACCCCCCCCCCCTCGCCGCCTCCCTTGGGAGTCCAAAGCGAACACACGCGGCCAGCCAAGCACGGTACGACAGCGGAAAGAAGGACCACTGTGAGCTCAGCAAAGGCTGCCGACCGCTCGGAAGCAGAAGGAGACGAGTAATAATAATAATAATAATAATAAATTTATTAATCAACTAATTGATTGATTAATTAACTAATTAATGAATTAATTAATTAATTAAGTACAAAAAGCGCTGAAAATGTATTGAATTTCCGCCCGCCCCCTGAAGAGCAAGAAGTACGGAAAAACCGTTCGGCTCTTGAGATAGGCAAGCGCCGAACGAAGATTGGAATCTGGGAATCCCAAACTAGATACTTTCATCGAACGATCGGTACAAGCACACCTTTGCAATAAATGACCACTGCGGGATCAATATGTGCTATAATTTCCAGGTCGTTCCTTAGATCAGGTCGGGGAAACTATTCGTGGCCGAGACTCGCCTTAGCCAGAAGAGCCGCCTCGTTCCTTCTGTGGCGCTCCTCGTGGTATCACGACGACTGTCCATCAATATGCCTTCCCTGCTCGCGAGGCCAGCTCTCGTGTCACGAACGCTGACGCGACACGCTCTCCAGAGACCCGTGTGAATTCTTGTGCGCTCACGTCTCTGTGTCGCCCCTGGGCCATCCCCTCCTCAAGGCCCCGCCCCCTCGCCGCCACGTCGCAGAGCCTCCCCCCTCGCCGGGGAGGCGGGCGATTGGGTGAGCTGGCAGCAGGCTTCCCGCCCAACTAACGCAGCGTCTTTCGGACGGGGCAGAAGGGGATGCTTCATGGCCATCGTGCTACCATAGGGAACGCCGAGTAAGGAACGAATGGCTCACCTAGCCTCGGCCATGTAGAGGACCCCGGACCTAACTCCAAGGAGCGGCCTGAAAATCAGAGCCACTCCCGAGCCCAAAGCGGCCCTTGTCTCAACGCCTCGACTGTACCACAAGCTCGCGTCGTGCTGGCTTCGGCACTCGATCATGACACCGCGTGGGTCGTTCAACCGTGAGTGATCGCGGCTCGCCGATGCCGCGCATCGTTGGAGGTCGGCCAATTCAGGGCAACTGGCGGCGTTCAATCTTGAACGCGCGCGCATGGGTCGCGGCCACGTCGACATGACATGAAGCTACCGTACAACACCGACTTGTTCGCACGCGGGTCAGAAACACACACACACACATACACACACACAAACACACGCGCGAGCGCGCGCACGCACGCACGCACGCACGCCCATACACACACACTAGAACGCGAACGCACGCACGCACGCCCGCACGCACGCACGCACGCACGCACGCACGCACGCAGGCAGGCACGCACGCACACACACACACACACACACACACACACACACACACACACACACACACACCATTCACGTCCGTCCTCCAGCCCAAATCCGTTCAGCACAGGTCCCTGGCATACACGACTGTTCGGCCCGCGTGCAGCCACGGCGGCAAGGTCCCTCTCCCAAGGGTAAAACAGAGTAAGCAGGTAAGCCGCCAAATGTGCATCTTTTTGTTGTTGCTCTTTCTCTCTCTCTCTCTCTCTTCATCTCTAGCGATGCCGTCCAATTGGATCTGGGTGCTGATGCTGATGGGTTTGGGCGGGAAACCATGCCGTGCGAGACAAGGGCCGCAGCCGGCCAAGTGCTGCCAGACGAGAGTGTTGTGCTTGGAGCTTCATTTGGAGTTCTCTATGCCTACAGGGGGCTATGGGCGGAGGCTCGAGCAGGTCCTGAGACGGCAGCACGCGAGAGCTGGTCGGCCTAACATGCTCGACACCAGCCCTGACATAATTAATCACCTCATGAGCTACTCTTCTAAAGTCGAAGCATGGCTGCAAGGACGTGGGTCAAGAACATGAGCTTATTCGCCGAATGCCCAGGGCCCCGTGGAAATACCTAAAACGAAGAACCTCCCAAGGTAGAAAGCTCACACACGAACAATTAAGGGTACTCCTCCAAAGCTACGCTTGTTCTTAGTCCGAGTACCAGCTGTACCACTCAGCACTCAGTATTCTGTCGACGTATCCTGTCTTACAGCCCCGATGGCCTTTGGTCTTGGCGTACTGGTAGTCGTGCTGGTGTTGTGCGCCCTGACCCAGGACTGCTTGGCGTAGCAGTCCCACCAGCTGAAGTTCCCCTTGGGGTGGGGGGGGCACTCTGTCGTGGCTGCAGAGCGCGGGAGGCTGGGGAGGATGCTGACAATTCTCGGCAGGAGGGGCCGGCCTGCACTATCGCACCGCAGGTGCTTGTGCCCCTTCTGTACTCACCCGCTGTGGATGCGGGGATTGCTGCGGCGGCAGAGGTAGCCAACAAGTGGGCGCACTTCATTGGCTAAAATCCTGTGTTAGTTGGGCCTTCGCATTGAACCAGCAACGCGCGCGTCTCCTTCCCGCCTTACCTCTGCTCTCCTCCTCGCACGCTGCATGGCCCCATAAGGAGCTCCACCTACGGTCTCAGTGGGAGCCGACATCTGGCGACACCGCGCCCATCTTAGCGGCGCCAACCTAATTTCGACACGCCCTTTTTCGCGGCCCCATAAAGAGCTCAACCTATGGCCTCGGTGGGCGCCGACGTATGGCGGGACCACGCCCATGTCGGCACACCCCTCACACGTTTCGCGCTCCTTGGGGAAGCCCACCTACGGTCGCATGGGCGCAACTACGGTCGCATGGGCGCAAACGAATGGCAGTACCGCGCTCAGCTCGGCACACGCAAACAAACACACACACACACACATACCTCTCCCACGCTTCGTGCCCTTCGGGAAGCTTTCGATACGATCTCTCTCGGCGCCGACGTACGGAGGTACCGCACCCCTTTCGGCAACCCCCTCGCATGATTCGCGGCCCCATCAATGAGTTCTGGCTGCGATCTCAGTGAGCGCCGACGTATGGCAGCACTGCGCTGATTTCGGCGCGCCCTCCTACGCTTCGCGGCCCCATAAGGAAACCAGCCTACGGTCTCAGTCGGTGGTGCCGACCCAATTCTTGCGCACCCCTAACACGTTTCGCGGCCCCAGGGGGAGATCCACCTATGGCCTGGGTGGACGCCGACGAATGGCGGTATCGCGCCAATTTCGGCACGCGCGAAGATCGCGGCCCCACAGGCGGCTCTTCATGAGGCCCCAGTGGGAGGGTCCGCATGGCGTCGCGGCCCATTTTGGTGCAATCCTCACGAGGACGAGGATCGTGGCCACAGTGGCAGGGTCCGTATGGCAGCACCCCCAATTTCGACACAACTCTCACGAAAATCATGGCCCAAGAGGGGCATCCACCTACGGCCCCAGCCTCATTTCAAGGTTCATGCGGCAGGACCGCCCACGTCAGCGTACCCCTGACGAGGATCGCACCCCCATAGGGAGGTCCACCTACGGCCTCAGCGGCAAAGCTTGCATGCGTAACTACTTCCGTCCCTTGCGGTACACTCCTCGCACGAGCCCCGCCTGAGGCTCCAGTGGGAAAAGTAGCATGAGTTTCCCCGCGCATTTCGACGCACCCTCCCATGTTTCGTGCCCCTTTGGGAGGTCCACCTACGGCCCTAATGGAGATCGTTTTGTCTTTCCCGCGTACCGGTCGTTACCCGGCGCGGGGGGGTTCGAGCAGGAGGGTAACAATAAAACAACGGTCGCGGCGTGCACCCGCCAGGGTGCGTTCGAACCACTGGCGCACCAATCGTCTGTGTGCACCACATCGTGTAGGGGGGGTCAAGGCCACCCCACCCAGTACGATCGTCAGCGTTACCTGGGGAGGAGAGGGGGTGGTTTGGCCGCCCGAGTAACGAGCGTTAAACTGGGAAGAACAAAAAACGCTCACATGGGAAAATCTGCATGAGTCCCCCGACGCAATCAGGCTCGTCCCTCATACGGATCCTGCGTAGATAAGATCGCCACCAACGTTGCCGCAAGTTGCTGCGGGTTGTGTCCCTCGCCAGGCTAATCCTGAAGGCTGGCCTCTCACAACGTGCCGCACCAGTGCGACGATTGAGAGAGCGGCTCCAAGAAAGCCAGTCAGCCGTCATCCTGTACATACTCAGGAGCACCAAGGTGATACGGTAGAGGAAAACAATTAGTGAACACCCCCCCTGCCCCCCAAACTCAAGGTTGGCACGCGCGGGGGAGACTGCGGTCGGTCGAGGTGCAACTCATCAGACCCACCGCCACTTTTGAACATTGGGGAGAGGGGGAGGCGTTCACAGATGAATGTGGCATGAGTGTTCGCTATTTCTTCCGAGGCCTGTACGGTCAGGACCTTCTGTCTAGCGCGTCGCGGCGGCGGCGGCCCCGGCTGCACGCTCCGCTCCGCGTGGCGGGAGGCCGGGGACGGCTCAGGACGTGGACGCTTGGGAATCGGGGAGCGCTTAGCGTGTCACGCCGGCGCGTGGTGGGCGAGAGCCAGCGGCACGACACGCTGAGCAAAATCTCCTGATCGTGAGCACAAGCGCAGCAGGCCGCCACGCGTCAGTGCGACATCGGCTGGTTGACATCACACCTGCTGCACAGGCCGACGCCCTTGAACCCACCGTGTCTGCACCAATCCGTCCGCCGCCGAGCGGCGGCGACAGGACTGGGCACAAGTTCTGCAGTGCAGCGCGGCCACTTGCAGATGTGGTGCTCGCGCTGTCAATGCTCTGCTCTCCTAGGGCTTTGCAGCGTCGTCCGCACCCTGCTGCTGCATGCCCGAGCTCCGTAGCTGCCTGCACGCCCTCCTGTGCTCAGCCGCGTTCTTGCTCTGATGGACGAGTCCATGCGGGTGAACGTATCGACCAGACGTTAGCACGGTTCGAAATAGCCCGCTACGAAGCTGAAACCGCCAGTTTCAACATCCGCAACTTCCAAATATTAACAGCACTGCGCAGGCCTGAGAAAAGCTTGACTGGTCCCTTCCAATGTGGGCACAAGTTCTGCAGTGCAGCGCGGCCGCTGGAGTCATGCTATCGCTGCGCGGTGGGTGATCGCCTCCATCTCCGAAGCTTTGCATCCACGTTGGATGCTCGTCCTGTGGACAAAACTCTGGACGCACCTGCTCCACGCATGCGCCAATGCTGCGCCGAATATCCGTCGACTTGAGTCGAGGTTGAGTATAATTTGAACCGACTCTGGGTCAAGCTGGAGCCGAACCACAGTCGAAGTAGACTCGAGTTAGAGTCGAGCAGGCCCGTCAGGTGGGCCCCGAGAGGGGCCCCAGAACGAACATAGAGTCCACTCGATCAGTCGTCCAGGCACAGCCAGAGTGTCGCAGACCCTTGCTTTGGCTGGTCGTGAGGTCCACGGGACATACCATATGCAAGCTTTAGTCCGACACGACAGGTCACACAGAAAACCGAGGGGGCGAAACAGACGCAATAGAGTCTCGCCGAGCGGCGGCAAACGTAACCGAGAAGGGCAGCAAAAGCCTGGACAACGGGGGCATGACAGACTCGGCAGCACCATGCCGAACGGCGGCTGACACACACACACACACATACACACACACACACACACACACACGCAAACTTTGTGTGCATGAAGGTGCGAAAGGCTCAGGCGAACACTGCTGAAGCGCACACGGCCACGGCCCGAGAAATCCTGCCCGCGCACGGCGGATCCGGAGGCCAACCACACCGCACGCGGCCCGGCCTTCGACACGCGCGAGGGCAGACCGGCTCGGCCTCCGTGCCGCAGCGCGGGCCACGGAGGCGACGGCACAGCATGCCAAAATAATGCACAAACAGTGCCGCACGGCTGTCTCGGGTCGGCGCCGGAGCCCCCCCCTCTGGCGCGCTCTGCGCTCCAGCGGAGGCCCAAGAAGTCCGCGAGGGCCTCCGACTGCTCAGGTCTGTGCCGTGCGCTGTGCCGTGCGTGGTCTTCGATGGCAGCACGGGCTCCGGCCTGCCCGCGCGGCCAGGGCATCGGTGCGCGCTGAACAGGGCGTGAGCAGACCTGGCGCCGCACGCCGAGCTCGCACGACCCCCCCCGCCGCGGCCCGCCTGGATCACGCCGGGGTCCCGCGTCAGGAGGCAGTGCAGGGACGAGTCCTCCCAGCTGTACCCTGCGCAGTGCTTGTTCTGCGTGCAGAAGGCCTCGCGGGTCGCGGGGCGAGCATGGACGCCCACGCGCCTGCCGCCCTCCAGGCCACCCCCTGGCCTGCAGCCTTACCCCTGCGCCTGCCAGCTCAGGTGCACGCCCCCGTGGTGTGGATAGCGTCGCCGGGTGTCCCCATGCGTTGCCGCCCCCCCCCTCCCCCGAGGCGCCCTCAATGGTATCGAAGAACTCGGAGGGCCCGCAAGAGGTTTGGGTGGCCTCCAATGTTGCCGACGTCCCGCGATGAGAAGCTGAGAAGAGCCGGGATGCCCCGGAGTGCCCAGGGTGTGCGAAGAGCCTGAGAATTGTCAGGATACCCCCCATGGGTGTGAGGGAGTTACTCGTGGCCTCAATGGGCTTCGAGTGGGCCTCCTCGGGGAAACATGGGGATACACACAGCGCATTGAGAGGCATACCAGCATGCGTGTCGCAGGGTAAGAGGGCGGAGGGGCACCTGGCTGCATCATTCCTGAGGCGACAGCAGTGCGCAGCCCGTTCTTTTTGAATTGATCTGCGTGTCGCACCTGCGCAGCAATTTCTACAGAGCAAATTGGGGACATCTACGCTTCGGTACTTTATCAGTGCACATGGCGCACCCCCAGACCTCGATGAGGAAACATAGAATGCCAACCCCGTGAGTCAAAAGTGAAGCTGTACTTTTCGAAAACTTCCGTGGCACCTCCCAAAGTCGAATTGGGATACATACGGCGCACCTCTTGCGCCCTAGACACGCGAAATGGCCCAGTGCGGTCCTTTGGAGCCCCAAACGAGGCCCTCGATTAATTGATTCAATGTGGCACAAGATATGCCAAGAGGGCCTCCAGGCCCGCTCAGAATTGCCCAAGATAACCGGAAGAAGCAATTAAGAAACCCCCCGGCGTTATCATTAGCACCGCGACGTAATTAAATAATTATTTGGGGGGGTTTTCGCCGAGCGATATTATTAGCACCGCGCAAATGGAAGGAACATAAATAATTCCAGCGCCCCGCCTCGGGTGGCATCCCAATTAGAATTGAAATGAGAATAAGAATACGAATACGAATAAGGAAAAGCTAAGAAAAGCTAGGGAAAAGCTGAGAAAAGCTGAGGAAAGCAAAGAAAAGCTGAGGAAAGCTAAGGAAAAATTAAGAAAAGCTAAAAAAAAGCTGAGAAAGCTCAGGAGAAGAGCAAGAAAAGCTGAGAAAAGCAAAAAAAAGCTAAGGAAAAGATGAGGAAAAGCTAAAGAAAACTAATGAAAAGCTAAGGAAAACTATGGAAAAGCTGAGGAGAAGCTAAAGGAAACTAGAGAAAACTTGAGAAAAGCTAAGGAAAACTGAGGAAAAGCTGAGGAAAAGCTAAGGGAAACTATGGAAAAGCTAAGGAAAAGCTAAGGAAAAGCTAAGGAAAACTAGAGAAAACCAAGAAAAGCTCAGGAAAACTAAAGAAAAGTTTAGGAAAAGCTAAAGACAACTAAGGAAAAGCTAGGGGAAACTAAGGAAAAGCTGAGGAAAAGCTGAGAAAAGCTAAGGAAAATTATTGAAAAGCTGAGGAAAACTAATGAAAAACTAAGGAAAAGCTAAGGAAAAGTAAAGAAAAACTGAGGAAAAGCTGAAGAAAACTAAGGACAACTTAAGAAAAGCTAAGGAAAACTAATGAAAAGTTAAGGAAACCTAAGGAAATGCTAAAGAAAACTAAGGAAAACTAGAGGAAAGCTAAGGAAAACTGAAGAAGCTCAGGAAAACTATAGAAAAGCTCAAGGAAACTAAGGAAAAGCTCAAGGACACTAAGGAAAAGCTCAGGGAAACTAAGGAAAACTAAGGAAAAGCTAAAGAAAACTAAAGAAAAGCTGCGGAAAACTAAGGAGAAGCTGCGAGTACCTAATGAAAACTTGCGGAAGAGCTGAGAACAGCTGAGTTCCCTCCTCATTTGGATTCTGGATGAGCTGGCGGGGATCACTCGAAGCGTGAGAATTTGCTGAGATGTCCTAGGTGCGCGTCGGGGCCTTTCGCTCCTTGCGAAACAATAATTAGCCCCCCCCCCCTTGTTGCGTCCACGCAGAAATTGCGCCCCAGCCCCTCCCCCCAGTCGCCCGCCCGAGCGCGGTGGCGGAATCGCGCGGCAGCGCCACTGAATGCGATGCACCGAAAGAGAGCAAGGCGATGTGTTTCTGAGCGACGCCTGCGCACGGCGCCTGATCTCTTAAAGCGTCAGCGAGCGCTGAAAGCCCTGGCGTCGACGTGACGCCCCGGCGCTGAAAGCCCTGGCGCTGAAGGGGGCGGTCTCGATCAAAAACGCGAGCACTGAAAGCCCCCTGAAAAAATTGGAGCCGCGCTGAGAAGGGGGCGGTCTGAAGGCGCTGAGGCGCTGAATCTCTGAACTGCGGCCTGAAGATTGCCGAGAGAAACTCAGCACAACATCTGCCTGACAGGCTAAGCTCGCCCTCCCCTCCCTGCCGTCCCCTCCCCCAAAGAAAAATAAAGAAAAACTCAGGAATGGTAAGGAAAAGCTGAGAAAAGCTAAGGAAAAGCTGAGGAAAAGCTAAGAAAAGCTCAGGAAAAGTTGAGAAAAGCCAAGGAAAAGCTTAGAAAAAGCGAAGGAAAAGCTAAGGAAAAGCTATGGAAAAGCTAGGAAAAGCTAAGGAAAAGCTGAGAAAGAGCTAAGGAAAAGCTGAGAAAAGCTAAGGAAAAGCTGAGAAAAGCTAAGGAAAAGCTGAGGAAAAACTGAGGAACAGCTAAGATAAGCTGAGGAAAAGCTGAGAAAAGCTAAGGAAAAGCTGAGAAAAGCTGAAGACAGCTAAGGAAAAGCTGAGAAAGGCTGGGGAAAAGCTGAGGAAAAGCTAAGAAAAGCTCAGGAAAAGTTGAGAAAAGCTAAGGAAAAGCTAAGGAAAAGCTAAGGAAAAGGCTAAGAAAAAAAGCAAGGAAGAGCTGAATAAAGTTAAGGAAAAGCTAAGAAAAAGCTAAAGAAAAGCTAACGAAAAAGCTAAGGAAAAGCTGAGAAAAGCTGAGGAAAAGCTGAGAAAAGCAATGAAAAACTGAGAAAAGCTAAGGAAAAGCTGAGAAAAGCTAAGGAAAAGCTAAGAAAAGCTAAGGACAGCTAAGGAAAAGCTGAGAAAAGCTAAGGAAAAGCTGGGAAAAGCTGAAAAAAAGCTAAGGAAAAACTGAGAAAAGCTAAGACAAACAATGGAGACCTAAAAAAACCAAGGGAAGGCACTCCCCTTCCCTCTGACAGCGCCAGACGCGGCCTCTTAGGAACGCTCACCTGCACATGCCCCTGAGCACGCTCATCGTGCTCATCCTCCACCACGCAGGTGGCCTGCGGTGCCTGATGCAGTACCTCAGGGCGCGGGGGTAGCTGCACGCGACGCAGCCTGAGGTCAGGAGGGAGACGAGGAGGAAGAGCAGGAGGAGGACGAGGAGGAGGACGAGGAGCACCAGCCTGAAGTCCATTCGCACTTGGCACACACCTGCACGGTCTGAATCATCTTCATGTGGCTGACGTATGCACAACACTCGTCACTGTTCACGTTCGTAAACTGAGCCTGATGGAAAGCTGCCTCAAGGACTGGCTCGGAAAGGCCTCTCAACCATGCCTCAAAGCCCTTCTCGCCCTTCTGCTTCTGACCTAGCGCTGCGAGAGCCTCCTGCGCCTGCTTCTCAGCCTCCTCCTTTTGCGCCTTCTTCTGTGCCTCCATCTTCTCCTCCTCTGCGCCCTTATTCGGTTCTGCGGGCTCCTTCTGCGCCTCAACCTGCGGCTCCTTATGCGCCTGCACCTTCTCCTCCTCTGCGCCCTTCTTCGGTGCTGCGGCCTCCTTCTGAGCCTCATCACCCTGCTTCAGCGCCTCCTTTCCCTTATCCGCGGCCTTCTTCTGAGCCTTCTCCTCGGCGGCCTCAGCCTCTGCCTCCAGGATTTTCTTCACCGTGGCCTTAACTTGGTCCTTCAATACCTGAGTCGCCTCCTGCTGCAACCTCCTCCTCACTTCCTTCGGGCCCCCAGGTCAGGGATGGCATCTGGTAGCGTCTTGCACCAGTTGCTGACCAAGGCTGCTTCCTCAGCTCTTCTCCTCAGCTCCTATGCCTCCCTCTGCTCGGTTTGCTTCCGATCTGCTTTGGCCTGAAGGTGCTGCTGCGCAGCCTTGACCTTCGCCTCCTCAAAAAGCGCTTCCTGAAGCCAGGCTTGCCGCGCCTTCTCCAGCTGCTTCGCGGCGCTCACGCACTTATTGATGACAGCCTTCTTCCTGTCCTTAGGCGTCGTGACTGGAGCTCCCCCCTCACCTGCCAGTCTCCTGACCTCCACCTCGATGTAATGCATGACCCAATAGCCGCAGTCGGTACCTGATTGCCTGAAGATCTGGTGCCTGGTGAGCGCAGTTACTAGCATCTGCTGGCTGAGGTCTGGCACGACTGCCTTCAAGATCTGATCAGCTCTGTCCAGACACACCTCATTGATCTCGTTCATTGTCTCGTAATACCTGATGCGCGGCTCTGCTAGACTGATGCCCTCGTTCCTCGTCTCAACGACAAGGAGGGTCCAGTGTCCCACCTTGTGCTTCCCAGCGCCCTCAGGACACTGAAGAGGGAAGAATACCTTATCGTATCGATTGAGAACTCTCCTCATTGCCTCTTCCATGGCTTTCTGACACACCTCGTCCTGATCCCTGAGTGCCGAGAAATACACGTACATGCTATCAGGTGACCAGGTGAAGAAGTTGGCCTGAGGGAAGGTGTGCTCCAGGAGAACTGACCATAACTGAATGGTCCCTCCTTCCAAGAGTGCGGCATCCTTCTTTACTTCCACTGGGGGTGCTGAGTCCGCGCTCACCATGTCGAGTCTGCCAAGCATCTGATATTTCATCTTCTTGCTCACGTGCTCGAACGTGAGAAGTGCTTTCGGCGTAGGCAACGTCTCATTCACCTCAATGACCGCGCTGATTGGGACGCGCCTGTTATTCATCTGATCGTCCAAGATGCTGATCTCCTGATCCTCCTTGTGAGCGCACATGCAGTGGCCCACTTTCCCGAA